ACACTCATCAAGACCTTTCATTTAAATACCCACATGCATTTTGATATATTATTCATATATACATATATATAGTATATATTAATATATGAAAAATTGATGTGGGTACTCAAATGAAAGGTCTTAACAAGTGTAACATCATGATGAGCTTATATCTTTAAAAATGTCAATAGTTCCCGAGATACAAGGTAATTTCTTAATTATGAGTAATTTTTCAGTACATAACAAACGATGGTGCTGAAATGATATTCTCAACAAACCGCAACGCCCCGAACTACCGACTAATCCGTATAAACTTCGACGATTATTCCGAAGAAAAATGGACGGACCTGATCCCGGAGGACCCAAAGCGGGTCCTAGATTGGGCAGTAGCCACCCACAAGGATAAATTGGTCGTCTGCTACATCCAGGACGTGAAGCACATCCTGGAGCTGCACTGTCTTAAAACAGGCGAGCTTCTCAAGACCTTCCCTCTAGATCTAGGAACCATCGTCGGGATCAGCGCCGACAGAGACTACTCCGAGATCTTCTACCAGTTCACGTCGATCTTGACCCCCGGGAGGATCTTCATGGCCGACCTGGCCAAGGACGAGGAGCCAAAAGTCCTCAGGGAGATTAAGGTCAGCAACTTTGACCCCTCGGCTTACAAAATGTCCCAAGTTTTCTACCCCAGCAAAGACGGGACCAAGATTCCGATGTTTATAGTCACTCGCGCCGATGCTGTTCTTGATGGGTCCATGCCCGCGCTCCTCTACGGATACGGCGGGTTTAATGTCAGTATTTATCCTACCTTCAGTGTCATGCGGCTTACTTTCGTCCAGCACCTCAAGGGCGTCTTTGCAATTGCTAATATTCGCGGTGGCGGGTAAGTTTATTTAAATATTTAAAAATTTGAAAAAGAATTGACACACAGCGCCACTTTTTAACTACTAATTAAAAGATCTTACCGCCATTTTGAATTGCTAATCCACTTGAAGATTTATTTATTTTATTTAAAAAAATTGGCTGGTCATATTAATTTTAAATAAAAATTATTTTATTCTACTAAATGGCAAGATTCTTATTAAATTTTTTTAAAATTAACAAACTTATTCAAAATTTTAAAAAGATTTGACATACAGCGCCACTTTTTAACTAAAATTAAATAATTTTTTTTTAAAAAGGCAAATTAAAAATTTTTTAAAAAGAATTGACATACAGCGCCACTTCTAAACAACTAACTAAAAAAAAGCTTACCGCTATTTTGAATTGCTTATCCACTTGAAGATTTATTTATTTTATTTATAAAAATTTACTGGTGATATTTATTTAAAATAAAAATTATTTTATTCTCCTCAATGGCAAGATTCTAAATGAATTTTTTTTTTTTTTAATTAATTAAACTTATTCAAAAATTTTAAAGAGAATTGATATGCAGCGCCACTTTTATACTACAAACTAAAAGAGCTTACCGCCATTTTTTTTTTTAAATTCAACTTATTCAAAAATTTTAAAATGAATTGACACACAGTGCCACTTTTATACTAGAAACTAAAAGAGCTTACCGCTATTTTTAATTGCTTATCCACTTGGAGATTTCTTTATTTTATTTATAAAAATTGGCTGGTGATATTGATTTCAAATAAAAATTATTTTATTCTCCTTAATGGCAAGATTCTGAATAAATTTTTATTTTTAAATTAACCTTATTTAAAAATTTTAAAAAGAATTGATGTACAGCGCCACTTTTAAACTACAAACTAAAAAAGCTTACCGCCATTTTGAATTGCTTATCCACTTGAAGATTTATTTATTTTATTTAAAAAAATTGGCTAATGCTATTAATTTCAAATAAAAATTATTTTATTCTCCTCAGTGGCAAGATTTAAAATAATTTTTTTTTTTTTTAAATTAACAAACTTAATTTTTTTTTAAGGGAGTATGGAGAAAAATGGCACAACGGCGGTCGACTGGACAACAAACAAAATGTCTTCGACGACTTCCAGTGCGCAGCGGAGTACTTGATCGCGAACAAATACACCGAAGCTAAGAAACTAACAATCCACGGTGGAAGCAACGGCGGACTTTTGGTAGCCGCTTGCATAAACCAGCGTCCGGAATTATTCGGCGCGGCGGTTGCAGACGTGGGGTAATCAATTGAATAATTAATTTGAATTAATAAAAAAATTAATTTTAATTAATTCAATAATTAATTTGAATTAATTATTAAAACTTTTCAGAGTTATGGACATGCTGCGGTACCACAAATTCACAATCGGGTACGCGTGGGTGTCAGACTACGGAAGCTCCGACGACGAAAAGCAGTTCTCGACCTTACTGAAGTACTCGCCGTTGCACAACGTACGCGTGCCGGAAGGGAACCGGCAGTACCCAGCGACTCTTCTGCTTACAGCTGATCACGACGATCGGGTCGTTCCACTTCACACTCTCAAGCTTATTGCGACACTCCAACACGTGCTGGGAAAATTACCGCAACAAACAAACCCGCTTTTAGCGCGAATTGATACTAAAGCCGGCCATGGACGGGGTAAACCGACCACTAAAGTCGTGAGTTAATCATTTGTTTGTTTATTCTCTTATCTATTGTAATGCTATTTTTAATAATTCTGTTCTTCTTTTTTTAGATCGAAGAAATCAGGGACATTTTCGTATTTATTATTAAAACGCTTAATCTTAAGTTTTATAATTAATCAGATTTGTATTGAGCTTTTAATAAACTCTTTTTTGAGAGATTTAAAAGGTGAGTTGCGGAGAGATTATCTTCTAAGTATATAATTACCTTGTATCTTGAGAAATATTGACATTTTTTAAGATATAAGCTCATCCTGATGTTACACTCATCGAGACCTTTCATTTGAGTACCCACATCAATTTTTCATATATTTATATATATTATATATATGTATATATGAAAAATATATCAAAAATGCATGTGGGTATTCAAATGAAAGCTCTTGATAAGAGTAATGTCGAGATGAGCTTATATCTTTAAAAACATCAATAGTTAAGAAAGTACAGTGCAATTTAACATAATTAAGAAATTACCTTGTATCTTTTAAACTATTGACATTTTTTAAGATATAAGCTCATCCCAATGTTACACTCATCGAGATCTTTCATTTGACTACCCACATTAATTTTTCATATATTTATATATACTACATATATGTATATATAAAAAATATATGAAAAATGCATGTGGGTACTCAAATGAAAACTCTTGACGAGTGTAACATCAGGATGAGCTTATATCTTTAAAAACATCAATAGTTAAGAAAGTACAGTGCAAATTTACAAATGTCATTATTTTAATGCAAAATTTTATTAAAAATTTTTAATTAAAAATTTTTAAAATAAATTTCTCTTGCAATAATTACTAATAAATCCATAAAATTTTCTCCTTACCCAATACTTGCATAAACTAATTCATCATCCGAGAATTTTCTAATCACTAAAAAAAACTAATAAATAATTACGAGGCCAAAGATCTCAAAAAAGAATCTAATCTAAAAAATCTTAATAATTTCATCCCACAGAATCTAGACTACAATGTTACCATAAAAAAATCTTATCATTGACCTTAATACTCCAAGATATCTATTTGTTAAATAAAAATTCTATTAACAAAAAAAAAAAAATAAGTGACCCATTGTACGAAATAATCACCAACTCGTAAGATAAAATAGGCGCTCTCCCAAGTTGGTGGCGCTGCGTGTGGTCATGCGCAGAGTATTAACCCGCCATGCGCATAGTTACAACGCACATTGGTGTACTTTGCGCCCTGGGAGATAACCTATCACCCCGAGAGCTGAGAGAGTTACCACCACCCGGAGGATCATCAGCTTCATATACCACGAGTTCAATCCAAGGTATTATTATTCACAATCTAAACTTAGTCAGTCGCTAATAATTAATAAAATTGTTATAATAATCTAAAAAAAAATTTTGGCGCCTTTTTCCAGAAAAAAAAAAAAAAATTACATTTTTTAATATAAAAAAAAAGTAATCAGAGGAATGCAAAAGGACTCTCGAGATTGTTTGGGTATCCGATACCGTATCAATACCCTGGACCAAACTTGGAAGTGGCTGCACCAGACCATCGCCCTCCACGAGTACCTGATCAGCATAACAGCCAGCCAGAGTGACGTGTCTTTAATCACAAAGGTGTTTTTATAATAAAAACACCAAGTGCTAAGACTGAGGTGCTAAGACTGATTATTAATTAATTAAAAATTAATTATAATAGTAAAATTATCAAGAACTTGGACTGGAAAAAAAACTAAGTGCTAAATTTTTAAATGTTTTTTGCTTCAGGAAAACTAAAAAAAAAATTCTTAATATGAGCAATTAAAAAAAAATCAATAGTATTAATACAAGATCATAACATTAGAAAACAAATTTGTTATTAAAAAAATTGTGAAGGGTACAAAAAAAAATTTTTTGATATTTTTATATCGGAACAAAATTAATAACTGAACACTTTGATCTAATCAATAGATTACTATTTTGAAGAAGTTAAAAAAAAAATTCTTAGTTTTTTTTACTGAGTGTTACAATTGTTCCTTATTATAATTGCAGCACATCTAGGAATTTAAATTTCGCGCTTTTAATTTTTTAACCAATCGGGAAGCTTATTTTTGCAATTTCATAGTTAACTTCACACTTAATTAAAAAAAAATTTTTAAAAGTTCATTAGGCAAACTAAAAAAAAAAAAAAATTTTTATTAATAATATGATCAAGTTAAAAATAAATTAAAAATTTCATATTTAAGGTTAACACTGTTGTATATCAAAAAAATAAACTCCGAAAAATTTAATCGTTTTACAATATTAGGAATTTAAATTGCGCGCTTTTATTTTTTAACCAATAAAAAATCGGGCACCATATTTTTGCGATAATTTGATAGTTAACTTCACACTTATTTTTATTTCACCTATTTTAATTTAGAGGAAAAAAAAAAACAGTGCTTAATTTTTAAATGTTGCAAAATTTCGTTGGATTTTAAAACTTCATCAGGCAAACTAAAAAAAGAAACAAATTTTTATTAACAATATGATCAAAACAAAAATAAATTAGAAATTTTATATTTTTTTTTTTAAAGTTAACACTTGTGTATCAAAATAAACTAGATAGATTATTTTATTTGATTCTAGAGCCAAGGCTCCTTTAGAACTATCATTTAGTATACATTATAGAGTTTTTGATACATTAAATAAAAATAAAAATATAATAAAAAATCAAAAATCAAAAATCAAAAGTAAAAAAATAAAAAATATATAAATAAAGTCCAAGTGGTGACCATAATATTAAAATCAAAATAACATTCTGTAAATAAATAAAAAAAAAAAAAAAAAATGTTGCGCTTCAGACCCTCGGTCAGGTTTTTTTGCTCCAGGAGTTTGGAGATAAAAAAATCAGTGTTCATATCACAATCCCAGGACATCTTTACAAACCTGGCTTTAGAAGACTGGCTCTACCGGAACTACGACTTATCAAAGAACCACGTGTTGTTACTCTGGAAGAGCAACCCTTGCGTGGTAATAGGGCGCCACCAGAACCCCTGGATGGAAGCTAACGTCCAGACTCTTGAAGAGAAGAACATCAACCTGGTCAGGAGGAACAGCGGGGGTGGAACTGTCTTCCACGACCACGGGAACCTTAATCTCTCCTTCTTGACCACCAGGGAGAAGTACAACAGGAGGTACAACCTGGAGATCATCACCAGGGCTCTCTACAGACACTGGGGCATCCAGAGTCACATTAATAAGCGGGAAGATATTGTGGTTCAGGGAGACTATAAGATCTCTGGCACTGCTGCTAAGCTGGGACGGCCTAATGCTTATCACCACTGCACTCTGCTGATCAGTTCTGATAAGAAGATACTTAAGGTGGCGCTGGAGAAGAAGGAGATGGGCATTGTGACCAATGCTACGGAGTCTACAAGGTCGCAGGTTAAGAATTTGAAGGAGATTAATTCGAGGGTGAGCTTTGATGAACTGGTCAATGCGGTGGGATGGGAGTTTCTTAGGACTGATCCTCTGGTGGTTAAAGATGGCGGGGAAAGCCTGGTGGCCAAGCAGAAGGGCTTTCAGATGGTTAATCCTACTGAGGATTGGTTTCCAGGTAATTTTTTTTGGTAATGTTTTTTTTTTTTTTCAGGAAAAAATTTGTTGATTAACAAATCTAATTTGATGTGATTTAAAACAATTTTACATTTTTTTTTAAAGAGTAAGAAAATATCTAAGAATTTAAAGAAAAAAATTCTAATCTCTGATTAGAAGGGTAACTTAATATAATGTCAAAAATTTCTTAATTAAAAAAAAAATCTAATTTGAGATGATTAAAAACAATTTTCTTTTTGTACAGTAAGTTAATAATATTTCAAATAATTTAAAGATAAAAATTTGCTTTATTAAATAATTGCACTTTTGTTAAATTGCATTTTACTTTTTTAATTATTGATTTTTTTGAAGATATAAGCTCATTTTGATGTTACACTCATCAAGAGCTTTCATTTGAGTACCCACATCAATTTTTTATATATTTTTCATATATATAAATATATAAAATATATGAAAAATTGATGTGAGTATTCAAATGAAAGGTCTTGATGAGTGTAACATTAGGATGAGCTTTTTTTTTTTTAAATGTCATAAGTTGACAAAATACAACATAATTTCTTAATTATTGACATTTTTAAAGATATAAGCTCATTATGATGTTACACTGATCAAGAGCTTTCATTTGAGTACCCACATCAATTTTTTATATATTTTTCATATATATAAATATATAAAATATATGAAAAATTGATGTGGGTATTTAAATGAAAGGTCTTGATGACCGTAATGTCAGGATGAGCTTATTATATCTTTAAAAATGTCTTATAGTTCTCAAGATACAAGGTAATTTCTTAATTATGTATCTAGAGATAAATATTTTAATGCAGCCTAAATTAACATTATAAATTCTCTTAATAATATAGATTAGAAAAAATTCTAATCTCTGATTAAGAAATCTAATTTTAAATGATTTAAATTAAATTATTTTTTTTTAGGTCTGAACAAATTAATATCCGAATTCCGTTCCTGGGATTGGATTTACGGAAAAACCCCCAGCTTCACAGTAAACCGCCTCCTAAAACTCCCCTGCTCCGGAAATTCATCATCAGACCTGGTAAATCTGACCCTAACAGTAGAAAAAGGAATAATAGAAGACATAAAGATGTCCTTACCGTCAGACTTGACCAGCTCGGCAAGCAGCGAGGCGAGTGTTATCAGCAATTTACGTGGGACCCGGTATCATCACAAAGTTATCGATAAAATAATAGCAGCACTTGGGTGCATCGCCATCGTCCCTTCTCAGTGTGAGCAAATAGATAATATCGCATTGCAATAATGTAAATAAAAAATAAATCTAAATAAAATTGTACACTTAATTAAATGCTATTTAAAAACGCTTCGACTAGTTTTATTCGTCAGAAGCTCATTGCATAATAGCTCATATATTTAGACTGCAGTTTCTTAACTTTGGGATTGTAATCTAATCTCTACAATTTTAATTTTCTAAATTTTCTTGGATAAAAAAAAAAAAACAATCCGTAAAATTCACCCATAATTATATTTTTTTATATTTCAGAACAAAGTGCACAAAGAGTTTTCTAGCGCATGCGCACTAGAGAGAGTGTATTAATGCACTCAGCTCGGTAAGATATTCCAACCGGCGTTTCGTCATTGGTCTTTCCAGCTGACATAAACCGAGGCCGTTTATTATTACAATTAAGCTAATTAATCATCAGCTAAACAATCTAAATTATTTTTGTTTTTAAGAACAAAGCTGGTAAAGGAGGCTCATACCCAGATACTAACTATTAAACCCTAAAATTTGCTACTTGAGCTATCTTAAGGGCTTAGAATTTTTTCATTCGCAACAACAATCTAAATTAATTAAAACCCAACTTTGTTTTAAGGGGGGCGATTAATTTTTTTAAAATCAAACTTTTTTTTTTTTCTGAGGTGTGCCAATTTACAATTTGATTTTTTTACTGGTTCAATTTACCAAAAAACTATTGAAAAAATGGAACTTTTTTTTCTGAGGTGTGCCAATTTACGATTTGATTTTTTTATTGGTTTAACTAGAAGATATATGTTTTAAGAACACGTAAAAACTAATTTTTTTGATGTTTTTTTCAGAGAGGATCTCGGCAGATTCATTTTTACGGCTGCCATTTTGAAAAAAAAATTTTTTTCAGTACTTCAATATATAACAAATAACCCTACAAAATTTCAAAATGATCCAGATATTAACTATAAAACCCAAAAATTTGTTAGCTCATTAGTCATGAGTTAGCTAATTAAGGGCTTAGATTTTTTTTCGATCGCAACAAATGAGACACTAAAAATCACGTATTTTCTGACGATTAAATACCAAAGGCGACTTTGACAGCAATGTCAAAGCTCAATACTTGGTATTAATGTCGATGTTGATGACAATTTGTCATTTGGTAGTTGTCATTGTGCGGTAAGCAGTGGGAGAAGCTAGTGGAGTATCTTAGCAGTGGGGCGACCAATCAGCAAAGTAGGTCACAAGCCTGGACCAATGAGACCTAGAGGTCGTGGTCACGTGGGTTTGTTGTTATCTATCAGCTGTTTAAGCTGGTGGTGGCCCGGTCGGTCGGCCGGCCGGCAGAGTGAAAGCCGCTCAGAGTTGGCTCAGTCCCACCCGGTCGCTCTCAGCTGTGCGTCACATGGTGATACCGTCAACAGACCATACATTGGCCTCGAGTTGTTGACTTAGCCGTCAGTTGTTTTCTTTAACAATATTTAAATATGCTCCAGAGGGAAGTAATAATAATACAATCTGGCTACTGAGTGTTAAATTAATTAATTAATTAATTAATTAATCCGAAAAATTAATTAGTTCCTTATTTATAAAACAAAATGTCCACGGGAAAGCGATTGGCTAAACGGAGCATCATCGGGACGCGTGTTTGTGCTCCGGGTAACGATGGAATGTACTACAGTGGAGTGATTCACGCAGTTAAAACTCCGGCCTCGACAATCGCCTCGGAGTCCGCTGGTTTAAGGATTACACCCAAGACCCGGTACTCTGTGAGGTTCGACCCGGTTCCTGGAACCGCCAGGCCCCCGAGTCCTAGCACTGAGTTCGCAGATCGCGACCTTATTGGTCCAGGGTTCGGGTCTGTCACCAGCGCCAGGCTTGTTCCAGGACAAAGAGTCTACCTGACGTTCAACGGCAGGGAGGTTAACGCTCAGGTTACCCAACATCGAGAACATCTGGATGAAGTAGACGTTGTTTTCGCTCCCACTGGTCAGGAGGTGAGTTTTATTTTTATTATTATCACCTAGATAAATAGGTCACCTATTTAGAGCCGCGGCTGCGCAATTTGTCCAGCCGCTCTATTCCCTTGACAACAAATATAGAGCTTTCTATTTAGTCACGTAATAATTTACACCCAAGTACATCAACCGTTAAATTATTTAATAAGAGAAAGATTCTTATGAAAACTTTCCAATTGGGCGTGGTTTTTTCACTCCAACTTTCTTTTGACTAATTTAACGCCATTTTCACCCGAGCGGTAATTAATTAATTTTTGCATTTTTGCAATCTCTCCCTCGTGTACTTTATTAAAATTCAGGGTAGCTGCACAAAATCCCCCGGGTTTAATTACAATTCAATGCCAAACTCGCCATATGGCAAACGGCCATCTTGTTGACCGCGCAAAATGGCAGATTTGAAGTATAAGGCATATAGGCGGGATTAATTTGAAAAAAAAAAAAAAAAAAAAAAAAAAAAAAAAGGGCTAGTCATTAGTATGTCGACGAGGCCTTATTGAAATTGATTGAGCAAGCGTTGAATCCAAAGATAGATTTGTCGTAGTCCGCACATACACCAGCGATTACATATATATTGGCGTATATAAATACATACATTAGAATAGTAGATGGTTGATGCCGGCCGGCGAAACGTTGTACCAAGTGCCGGCTCAGCCAGCCGGTCGGCATAACCAGTTCAGGCTTCCCCTTACTTCTCCCCTCCCCTTCCCACCCTTGCGTCCACGACCTCGACTCTACTCCCACTCCTTGTAAGTAGCCTAACAAAGGAATCTAACCAGTGTATCTACGAAATCATATTATGGTGTAATTTTCCCAAGTTTTTCTCCAGCCGATCCCCTTTACAAATATATATCTTTATATTTATGGATGCTGGCTAGGTTGTTATTGAGGGTGGGGGTATTGACGTAAATATTGTGATGTCACTTATCCGCTGTCATTGTAATGTCACGTATATATATATTATTTTATTTATTTATTAATTGTTTTCTTTTTATTGTTTTTTTATCGTGTTTTTTTTTTTTCTTTAACTGATAAAGATACTCAATAAAGTAACAGGTGCTCACGCACTTTATTTGTCGTAATTAAAGAGTTTAATGATAGACCGGACTTTGCTCTATGTATAATTCATTGACTCACTGCTTTATATATATATATATATTAAATCTCTTTGTTAATAAGGTTATTATTTAAATATGGGGCCTTCCGTTATACTTTATGAGGTTTTATCTTTCGGGAAAGTTCTGGGGAATTATTCCGAGTAATTTGTTGTTTTATCACCTTTTCGGAATTTTGAAGAGTCATTGAATTTTGACCCTCGTTAAAAACAATTAGTGGTTTTATCTTTAAAACTTGGACAATGTTTGTCCGGCTTAGTAATCTATTTTAACAATGACTAATTTGAGTTTACTACTTTGTTGTTGAGTTTTAAGGAAATTGTAGATTAAAGACCCTTCTTTAGGATTAATTTTATTGCGAACTAAAATTTTGGTTATTTTAAAAGTTATGATCATTATGAAGCTTTAATAATTAATATTTTAGGAATTATTGGGGCTAGAAAAAAAATTTTGGAACAAAGTTGTAGCTTATATTCTCTTCTTTAAGACAAAATTTGTCCAGTTTCAAAATTTTGATTATTTTAAAAGTTATGATCATTTAAAAGTTGCCCAAAATTTAGACACTAATAATTTGGTCATTATGAATGTTTAATAATTAATATCTTAGGAACAATTGGTCCTAAAAATAAAGCTTTGGACAAAAATTGTAGCTTATAGCTTCTTTTTTACTACAAAATTTGTTCGGTTCCAAAATTTCAATTTGTTCTAAACTTATGACCATTTAAAGTTTGCCCAAAATATGGACACTAATAATGATTTGATCATTATGAATCTTGAATAATTAATATCGGAGGAACTATTAGTCCTAAAAAAAAAAAGCTTGGGACAAAAGTTGTAGCTTTTAACCTTTTCTTTGCTACAAAATTCACCCGGTTCCAAAATTTTGATTATTTTAGAAGTTATGATGTTTATGACATTTTTATACCAAAAATCCTATATTAATTAGAATTAATCATCATAAATCTTTAATAATTAATATCTTAGGAACTATTGGACCTAGAAAAAAACATCTTTGGAACAAAAGTTGTAGCTTTTAACCTCTTCTTTGCTACAAAATTTGTCCGGTTCCAAAATTGTAATTTGTTTCCAAATTATAACCATTTTTGTACCAAAATTTCGATATTAATTAGATTTTATCATTATCAATTATTAATAATTAATATCTTAGGACCTATTGGTTTTAAAAAAAAAACTTTTGGAACAAAAGTTGTAGCTTATAGTCTCTTTATTACTACAAAATTTGTCCGGTTCCAAAATTTCAGTTTGTTTCCAAAGTATGACCATTTTTGTACCAAAATTTGAACCTTAATAATGATTTGATCATTATAAATCTTTAATAATTAATATCTTAGGAACAATTGGTCCAACTCAAATTTCTTAGGACAAAAATTGTAGCCTATAGCTTCTTCTTTAAGACAAAATTTTTCCGGTTCCAAAATTTTGATTATTTTAGAAGTTAAGACTAAAATAACGCTGCTAAAATAAAGAGCTGTGAATAATGGATATAAATGATAAAAACATAAAAGACTGCTCTAAAACTGACAGAATAATAAAACAACCTTGACTAAAATGATAATGCCTGTAATAATTATAATAACAATTATAAATAATAAATTACAGGGAACAATGAGACTGACAAAGCGGATCGACGAGATTCGTCTACTGGAATCGCGAAAGAGTGCGCGATTAGCGGATCAAGACACGGACTTTGCAAGACTAGCAGATATGGCCGGCGACCGCAAACGCGCCTCCTCTCACTCAATAGACGTGCCACACGTACCCGGGTAAGTTGGACAGCTTAATTACATCACATGCAATATTTTATCCTACCGATTCGAGCAGAGCCAAGCAGGCTAGAGGCTAGATGCTTCACAATACATACAACATATTGTATGCTGTGCGGTGACTGCTCGAAAACCTCCAACCAAGAAAATTAACACTCGGATACGTAAAATTACGCTACTGTGTCAGTAGGTTAACTTACGTAATGTCGGTCGCGCAATTTAAACTACTCTAGCTCGGAGTACTCGATGCCGGCCGGCGTTTGTTAAATCGGGTCAATCAATACCCACCTAAATATTCCCGGTCTCATCAAATGGGTCAAGTGCATTTTCAATCTACAATTACTTACATTTTTTATTAATAATCCAGCTCTAGGTACTTGCAATTATTTTTTAGTTATTTTTTATCGAAAGTACTTTTAAAGCCGAACATTTCAAAAAAAAATTCGTTCAAATTGGTTAATTTTTCGCAGAGTTGTAGACATTACAAAAATCTTCCAAGATTTGAATCATTTTTCCCGCCCTTTTGCAGCGCCATTTCACTTTCATATACGTCCGCCATTTTGATGCACGCTTCCACCTCGAAATTTATTTATTTAATTTCTCAAGATTAGGTTGGAATAAAAAGCCGGAAAAAAAATTTTTTTAATCTGCAGAGTGGCAAGAATTAATTAAAATATTTTTTTTTTTTAATTATAATTGATGTCAAAATTAATTATCCAGCCCCAGGTACTTGCAATAATTTTTTAGTAATTTTTTATTGCAACTACTATTAAAGCCAGAGATTTAAAAAAAAAATTCATTTAAATCGGCCGATTTTTTGCAGAATTACAAACATTTTAAAAATCTAAGATTTGAATAATTTTTCCCGTTCTTCTGTAGCGCCATTTTGTTTTCAAACACGTCCGCCATTTTGATGCACGCTTCCACCTCGAAATTTATTTATTAAATATCTCAAAATAGGGTTGGAATAAAAAGCTGGAAAAAAATTATTTTTAATCTCCAGAGTGGCAAGAATTAATTAAAATAATTTTTTTTAAATTTTAATTAATGTGAAAAATAAAATGATAAAAAATGAAATATTAAAATTTATTGTTGGCTAGATAAAAGTTATTTTTCGAAAGAGAAGGTCAGTTGGGAGTTGGTGTGGGTGAAGTGGGGGCTCGAGTGAGATAGAGAGAGGGAGAGGGAGAGAGAAGGAGTTAGAATGACGACAAAATTACAGGGTCGCTGGCGTAGCGCTACGCCAAGCAGATCGAGGCCGATCGATGCAGCAGCTGCGTGTGTGTAGCACACAAATTCTTCTACTCGCTATTACCGTACTTGAGATCCGCGAAATAGGTCAGGTCTTAGGAATCGGATCCGAGTTAACTTGTGGCTCTGATACCGGCAATAGTTTTCAAAAACTCAAGCCCCTTTTCGATTATTGGGAAAGTAAATTTGAGGAAGAGGAAGGCTAACTGGGACAATTCCGGCGAAGGTTGTGCAGTCGTAATATATACATTGGGTATATATGAGAGTGCAGCCGCATCGGCTGCCTACACGTGTGCAACACACCCACGTGCCAGATACGCCGCATTCCGGAGCTTCTGTGCTGACACAATCCACCTTTTTTATTTTTAATTTAAATAGGGCTTGGCTTTTTCATTGCTCATCAAATTAATTCACTTTTTAGAATATTTATCATTTTTCTCATTTCATTTCTTTCCTCTCTTTATTTTTATTTTTATTATTAATCTTTACTAATTAATGTCAGAAATTTTTAATCCTAGAAAAAAAATTATAACTTTCAATCTCCTATTTACTACAAAATTTATCCGGTTTCAAAATTATGAACATTTAAAGGTTGCCCAAAATTTGGATAATAATGATTTGGTCATTATTATTAATCTTTAATAATTGATCTCTTAGGAATTATAGGTTCTAAAAAAAAAAACTTTTGGGACAATGGTATAGCTTATAGCCTCTTTTTAAAGACAAATTTTGTCCGAGTCCAAAATTTTGATTATTTTAGAAGTTATGGCCATTTTTGCACCAAAATTTGGATATTAGCTAGATTTGATCATAATTAATCTTTAATAATTAATATTTAAGGAACTATTGGTCCTAAAAAAAATTATTTCAACATAAGTTGTAGTTTATAAGCTCTTCTTTGCTACAAAATTTGTCCGGTTTCAAAATTATAATTATTTCAAAAGTTATGACCATTTAAAGTTTGCCCAAAATTTGGTCATTATTAATGATTTTATCATTATTAATCTTTAATAATTAATATCTTAGGAACTATTGGTCCTAAAAACAATTTTGAGAACGAAAATTTTAGCTTTTAGCTTCTTCTTAAAGATAAAATTTATCCGGTTCAAAAATTTTGGTTATTTTTGAAGTTATGGCCATTTTTGCACCACAATTTGGATATTAGTTAGATTTAGCCATTATGGTTCTTTAATAATTAATATCTTAGGAACCATTGGTCTTAAAAAAGAAACTTTGAACGAAAGTTGTAGCTTATAGCCTTATCTTCACTACAAAATTTGTCCGGTTTCAAAATTTTAATTTGTTTTAAATTTATGACCATTTAAAGGTTGCCCAAAATTTGGACACTAATTATGACTAGATCATCTTTAATAATTAATATCTTAGGAACTAATAGTCCTAAAAAAAACTTTTGGAACAACAGATATAGCTTATAGCCTCTTCTTTGAGACAAAATGCTCCCGGTTCCAAAATTTTGATTAGTTCAAAAGTTATGACCACCCAAACCCAACAAAAATTTAAGAAGACCTAATTACAATAGTGATTTGATGATATTGACCAAAAATGAACGTAATAAAATCCTTGATATTCAGAAGGGTCGTATAGTTGGTGTAGTCTAGCCGGATAGAATTGATTAAACTGTCAAGACAAAGCCAGGGCAATTTATCTACTGCGTTACACTCTAGAGCTAGATAGGAATAGGGTCACCCGAATCTAAGCAGGTTATCCGGGAGTTATTGACGAAGCGGAAATGGGGTCGGTCGATCCAGGTCGGTTGTACCAAGCTCGAGCACAAAACCAGAACGCATCCCCAATTTTCCCCCTAGGTGACCTATTTGGGTGTCCTGTCCTATTTGGAAAAGGAGCAGGCCAGGGTCCTGGTTACCGTGGCAAACCTCGGGAAAGTTAACTGGGTCAATGCTGGTGCTTCTGCCGAGGGCTCTATTGGGTTAGATCAACTCAGATGCTTAATTTGTTGCAAAGTTATGAACACTTGAAGCTTGCTCAAATTCTAGGAATTAATAATCATTATTAATCTTTAATAATTAATATCTTAGGAACCATTAGTTCTAAAAAAAAAACTTTTTAAACAAAAGTTGTAGTTCTTAACCTCTTCTTTACTACAAAATTCATCCGGTTCCAAAATTTTGATTATTTTACAAGTTATGACCATTTTTGCACCAAAATTAGGATATTAATTAAATTCGATCATCATAAATCTTCAATAATTAACATCTAAGGAACATTTGTTCCAAAATTTATAGCAAAAACTCCCCACCCAATTTTCCTCCTAGGTGACCTATATAAATAAATGGTCCTGGTTTTCGTAGCAAACCTCGGAAAAGTAAACTGGGTCAATGCTGGTGGCTCTGCCGAGGACTAAATTGGGTTAGCTCAACTTACATTTGATTGGGAGGGATCCACCAATTGCCAGTAAGAGACAATGATACCCGAGAAAAAGTTATAACCATATCAGCGTCATTATTTGTAAGATTAAAAAGTTAATATGTATGACCTAGTTTAGCAGCAACCAAGCAAGTAAGCAACAAGCAGTACCCAACCAGAGAAAGTATATTATATTATATGCAACACGGTTTTTCGTTTGTTCCCTCCACTCACAGCTTACGTTCACGTTTGCGTTCGTTTGCTGATGGGAGTAATGTAGCATTTCACTGACCCACTTTCCCGGATTACCTTGCCGCGTAATATGACACACTATTTCGTAAATAAAACCCGTATTCAATTATTTTGTAACACAACAAATGAAAGGTTAGTGCTGCTAAGGCTAACACCTTCACTAATCTACTATTTGTCCAATTTATACTATTTATTATCATCCATAACTTCCGGTTTACTTTTATTTGTCCTTTCTCATTATATTAATCCAATACACAATTGTGATTTATTATGCAGCAGGAAAATTCCAGAGAAAGTTGTTGAATTTTTTGGTTAAAAATTTTGCTTAAATTGTAGAAATTTTTCTGGCCTTGCAAACTGCGTAAAAGTTGCAAGAACATTAGAATGGTGGAAAAAAGCGCAATCGGAAAATTATAGTTCCAAACATAACGGGCTGGAAATTACAGTTTCAACTAGCAATTTTACTCTTATATATTGTATTATTATAAGTGTAGTACATTAAGTGTTTTATTTAGAAAAAATTACTTTTCATGAAAATGGTATTTTTGATTATAAAATTAATATTTAGGAGCCTACTGGTTCTAAAAAAAAAAATTTGGAAAAAAAGTTGTAGCTTATAGTCTCTTCTTTACTACAAAATTTGTCCGGTTCTAAAATTTTAATTCGTTTCAAAGTTATAGCCATTTAAAGGTTGCCCAAAATTTGGACACTAATAATGATTTGGTCATTATTAATCTTTAATAATTAATTTTTTAGGAATTATTGGTCCTCAAAAAAATTTTTGGGACAAAATTTGTAGCAAAAATTCCCCCCTTTAAGACAAAATTTATTTAGTTCGAAAATTTTGATTATTTTAGAAGTTATAATCATTTTTGCACCAAAATTAAGATATTAGCTAGATTTGATCATTATAAATGATTGATATCTTAGGAACTATTGGTCCTAGAACAAACTTTTAGGACAGAATTTATAGCTTATAACCTCTATTTTACTACAAAATTTGTCCGATTCCAAAATGTTAATTTGTTTTTAAGTTATGACCATTTTTGTATCAAAATTTGAACATTAATAATGACTTGATCATTATTAATCTTTAATAATTAATATCTTAGGAACTATTGGTCCTAAAAATAACTTATGGACTAAATTTTGTAGCTTTTAACCGCTTTTTTACTATAAAATTCGTCCGGTTCCAAAATTTTAATTTCTTTTTAAGTTATGACCATTTTTGTACCAAAATTTGGATGTTAATTCGTTTTGATCATTATTAATCTTTAATAATTAATATCTTAGGAACTATAGGTCCTAAAAAAAACTTTTGGCACAAAATCTGTAGATTATATCCTCTTCTTTGCTACAAAATTTGTCCGGTTACAAAATTTTGATTTGTTTCCAAATTATGACAATTTTTGTATCAAAATTTGAACATTAATAATGACTTGATCATTATTAATCTTCAATAATTAATATCTTAGGAACTATTGGTCTTAAAAAAAACTTTTGGACCAAAATTTGTAGCTTTAAGTCTCTTCTTTAATACAAAAATTAATAATAATATACCAAAATTAACAATAAAAATACTTTGTGCAGATCGCGCAAACGTAGACCAAGTTCCGGGAACGAATCAGACCGAAGTTCCTACAGCGGATGCTGCGTAACGGAAAACGGCGTAAAGATCTGCCACAATTCGAAATGCTGCGGCCGCGCCCCGGAATCTAGGAACCGCGAAGGGGGAATGGACGAGTGCACAGCAGCGCTGGTGTTGATGTCGCTGTCCTGCTCTCCGCACAGTCCAAACCACCCTTTGCAGCAATGTTCCAGCCAGTTCCAGTGTTCCAGGAACAACAGTAAGCACTCTAGTATTTCTAGTTGTTGACCGCGACTAACTAATGTGTGGGATCCAAAGGAATGAGCGAGGTGGTAGTCGGAACGCCTTCAAGCCACAGCAACAGCAGCTGCGACGCCTCCTGGAGAACTGGAACCCCATCGCCAACTCTGAGCGAAGACGCGGTTCCTCTGACCAGCTCGCCGCCCGGGTCCTCGACCTGGCCGGTTCATTCCAGGCCCGGAACCTCCAGGAACTCCGAGGACTTGTTCGTCAACAAGTCCGACGGCTCCTCCGGCAGCACTCCGACTTCTGGCACCTGCGACGAAGGCATCGTCATGGACCTTGAGGATTACCTTGAAGAAATGCAGCCACGTAAGAAAAAAGTAAGTGTTTATTTGTGTGTAATGTTACGCGGGTCTTTAAATTTTGACCGCGACCTTGAGCATTGCTCCTCAATGCGGAACTCGTTTTCTCTTTGAGCCATTTAATGCCGGGTTTTAAATGCCTCGTAAGAGTAAGAGGTTTCTCTTAAAGATCGATCATTTCAGACCTGTTTAACACTCTTTTTCTTAATCGTCTATTTTACGGAAAATTAGCTTTTTTTTAATATTAATTAGATTTGACCATTATGAATTTTTAATAATACTTAGGAATTATTGGTCCTAGAACAAAACTTTAAAACAATAGTTGTGGCTTTAAGTCTCCTATTTAAGACAAAATTCACCCGGTTCTAAAATTTTGATTATTTTAGAAGTTATAATCATTTTTGCACCATAATTTGGATATTAATTAGATTTGATCATTATAAAGCTTTAAACTATATGATTTTAGGAACTAATGGTCCTAGAACAAAAATTTTGGAACAACATTGTTGCTTTTAACCTCTTCTTAGAGACAAAATTTGTCCGGTTTCAAAATTTTAATTTGTTACTAAGTTATGAATATTAAAGGTTGTCCAAAATTTGGACATTAATAATGATTTGGTAATTATTAATCTTTAATAATTAATATCTTAGGGATTATTGGTCCTAGAACACAAATTTTGGAATATAATTGTAGCTTATAGCTTCTTCTTTAAGAGAAAATTTAGAAGGTTCCAAAATTTTGATTATTTCAGAAGTTATGGTCTTTTAAAGTTAGCCCAAAATTTGGACACTAATATTAATTTGATTATTAAGAATCTTTAATAATTAATATCTTAGGAGCAATTTATCGTAGAAAAATCTAAGAAGCTAAGGACAAATATGTAGCTTATAGCCTCTTCTTTGAGACAAAATTTGTCCGGTTTGAAAATTTTAATTTGTTTCAAAGTTATGAACATTTAAAGTTTGCCCAAAATTTGGACACTAATCATGACTTGGTCATTATTTATCTTTAATAATTAATATCTTAGGAACTATTAGTCCTAAAAAACAACTTTCGGCATAAAAAATGTACCTTATAACCTCTTTTTTAAGACAAAATTCACCCGGTTCCAAAATTTTGATTATTTTACAAGTTATGACCATTTTTTTCCCCAAAATTTGGATATTAATTATATTTGATCATAATCAATCTTCCATAATTAATATCTTAGGAACTATTAGTTCTAGAAAAAAACTTTTGGAACAAAATTTGTAGCTTTTAACCTCTTCTTTGCTACAAAATTTGTCTGGTTCTAAAATTTTGGTTTGTTTCCAAATTATGACCATTTTTATACCAAAATTTGAACATTAATTAGGTTTAATCACATTAAATCTTCCATAATTAATATCTTAGGAACTATTGGTTTTAAAAAAAAAATTTTGGAACAAAATTAGTAGCTTATAACCTCTTCTTTGCTACAAAATTTACCCAATTTCAAAATTTTGATTTGTTTCCAAATTATGACCATTTATTATACCAAAATTTGAACATTAATTAGACTTGATAATAATTAATATCTTAGGAACTATTGCTCCTAGAAAAAAACTTTTGGAACAAAAGTTGTAGCTTATAACCCCTTCTTTACTGCAAAATTTATCCGGTTTAAAAATTTTGATTATTTTAGAAGTTATACCGTTTTTATAGGCTTTTCAAAACTGCAATCACTTAAAACCTTAAAAAAATGTATATTCAAATAATTATTGACACAAAAAAAATACGTTTGTAGAAAAAAGTCTTCTTATTACCATAAAATAAACTTGATTAAAAACTGCCAATTATTAAAAAAGTAATGACAGTTTAAAAATCGTGAAAACTTGTCCCAGCAGATCGACGTTTAAAAAACGAAAGTCGACCTTCGTAATGACCCTAATTAAAACAATATCAATAGCAATTAGCTCGGTGACGTGTGATAAAGGCTAAAGCAGCAATTGTTTTTGTTGCTAGAGAGATTTCAAAAACGCATCTGATCGTCAGAGCCCGACATTGAAGACAAAGAGCTACGAGTTTGATAAATCGGTGAGTTTATGTTTCATATCATCTCTTCCGCAATCCACTCGGTTATTTAATAAATAAAAACTATATAAATAACTTAGTATGTGTGTGTGTGTGTGTGTGTGTGTGTGTGTGTGTGTTGTGTGCTGTGATGTATTATGCGGTAGGATGCATTACATTGCCGTACACGTGACGTCTTTTTTGCCAAAGAGGCTGATGTTCCTAGCAATGGTCGGCGGCGATGCAGTTTCTATCCACATAGATATATATATATATATATATATATATTTACCAGCACAATAACGCCAGTGTGGTACATAGATAAGAGACACACTCACACTGACAACCCGGTGCAAGGTAAAGATGCCTTGGTGGTAAGATCCGGAGTGGTGGAGGGCGAGGGGCAAACTAAGGTCACACTGGCCCTGACAACTCCTATCCACATTATACTCCGCACTTGCAAAATTTAATATCAACAACAATTATTATTGTTGTTATTAAAATGCAGCCTATTATTATTCTTTGTTGGTAATCGATGATGATTTTTCGGTTTTAAGGGAATTTTAATTAAAAGTTAGTTTAAAAAAAGGTTTCTACCTAAAATGTAGATTTGATCATTTTTAATCTTTAATAATTAATATCTTAGGAACAATTGGTCGTAAAAATAAAGCTTAGGGCAAAAATTGTAGCTTATAGGTTCTTCTTTAAGATAAAATTTTCCCGGTTTAAAAATTTTTATTATTTTAGAAGTTATGATCATTAGAAGGTTGCCCAAAATTTGGAAATTAATTACTTGGTCATTATTAATCTTTAATAATTAGTATCTTAGGAACAATTGGTCGTAAAAATGAATCTTAGGATAAAAATTGTAGCTTATAGCTTCTTCTTTAAAACAAAATTAATCCGGTTCAAAAATTGATATTATTTTAAAAATTATGATCATTTTTGTACCGAAATTAGGGTATTAATTAGATTTTATCATTATAAATCTTTAGTAATTAATATCTTATAGGAACTATTGGACCTAAAAAAAAACTTTAGGATCAAAATTTATAGCAAAAATCCTCCTCTTTACGACAAAATTAACCCGGTTCCAAAATTTTGATTAATTTAGAAGTTATGAACATATTAGAACCAAAATTTGGACATTAATATTGATGTCAACATTATTAATCTTTAATAATTAATATCTTAGGAACTAATGGTCCTAAAAAAAACTTTTGGACCAAAATTTGTAGCTTTAGGTCTCTTCTTTAAGACAAAATCCACCCAGTTCCAAAATTTGGATTAATTTACAAGTTATGAACATATTTGAACCAAAATTTGGACATTAATTAGATTTAATCATTATTAATTTTCCATAATTAATATCTTAGGAACTATTGGTCCTAAAAAATTGGTCCAACCTTTCAAAACAAAAGTTGTAGTTGAAGTTGCCTTTTTTAAGACAAAATTAGTTCGGTTTAAAAAATTTTATTATTTTTGAAATTATGACCATTATTAGCGCATTCTCAAAAATCTACTGACTAGAATTGCTTAAAATTTAAAGAAACAGTTTCTAACATATAAAGTTACTTAGATAAAGCATGCGCTTCACTGGATAAAATAATAACGCAAACGGTTGTTAGCTGCAAGGTTATGTTTCATAAACATTTGGTGTTTCAATCACCAATCCACCAATCAGAGAATTAGTAATTGAAAATGTCAGAAAATTAGAAAGTTAAGATAATGATTATTGTAAACAAACAATAATTAGGATTTAAATTACAAGTCCTTGATATTCAGGTTGGTGTTTTCTATGAGATCACCGTATCGGTGCCGGCCTTGAGTGGTTTAAAAGGTTAGATCATCATCAAGGCAAACCCGTACGCATTTTCATTGTTTTATCTTGCTTGTTGTGTCACTTTCAGATTCTAATTGTCAAATAGGTCAGTCATACTCTGCCTTCTATGTTTCATGCTCCTTTATGGAGTTTTTTTATGATTCAAAATGCCGGGAGGCCTTGTCTATATTTGTTTCAAGATTTTTTTGAGCTTTCCAGCTCAATCAAGGGGAATAGAGTCCAAAATAGATAAAGGAGAAGGTAAATAGGTCGAATTTGTCCGAATTTGTCCGGTTTCAAAATTTTGATTTTTTTCAAAGTTATGAACATTAAAAGCTTGTTCAAAATTTGGAAATTATTCATTTGATCATAATTAATCTGTAATAATTAATATCTTAGGAATTATTAGTTCTAAAAAAAACTTTTGGGTCAAAAGTTGTAGCTTATAGCTTCTTATTTAAGCCAAAATTTGTCCGGTTTAAAAATTATGATTATTTTAGAAGTTATAACCATTAAAAGCTTGCCCAAAATTTGGAATTGTTAAAAACTTTGATTTTTGCGGATGAATCTCAAAAAATTCATATCTTAGGAATTATTGGTCCTAAAAGAAACTTTCTAAACAAAATTAGTAGCTTAAAGTACTTTCTTTTGGACAAAATTTGCCCGGTTCAAAAATTTTAATTATTTTAAAAGTTATGATCATTTTTGCACCAAAATTTGGATATTAATTAGATTTGAATCATTATCAATCGTTAATAATTAATATCTTAGGAACTATTGGTAGTAAAAATAATTATTCTAACAAAATTTATAGCTTATAGTTTCTTCTTAAAGACAAAATTCGTCCGCTTCTAAAATTTTGATTATTTCAAAAGTTATGACCATTTTTGCACCAAAATTTGGATATTAGCTAGATTTGATCATAATTAATCTTTAATAATTAATATCTAAGGAACTATTGGTCCTAAAAAAAATTATTTCAACAAAAGTTGTAGCTTATAGTCTCTTCTTTACTGCAAAATTTGTCCGGTTTCAAAATTTCAATTAGTTTAAAAGTTATGATCATTAAAAGTAACCCAAAATTTGGACACTAATAATGATTTGATCATTATTAATCTTCAATAATTAATATCTTAGGAACCATTAGTCCTAAAAAAAATTGTTCTAACAAAATTTGTAGCTTATAGCTTCTTCTTTACTAAAAAATTTGTCCATGCAGTTTCAAAATTTTGATTTTTTTTAAAGTTATGAACATTTAAAATTTACCCAAAATCTGTAAATTAATCATTTTACCATTATTAATCTTTAATAATTAATTTCTTAGGAACTAATAGTCCTAAAACCAACTTTTGGAACAAAAATTGTAGCTTATAGCTTTTTCTTGAAGAAAAAATTCACCTGGTTCCAAATTTTTGATTATTTTAGAAGTTATGATCATTTTTGCACCAAAATTTGGATATTAATTAGATTTAATGATTATGAATCATTAAAAATGAATATCTTAGGACCTAATGGTCCTAAAAAAAAACTTTTGGAACAAAATTTGTATTAAAAATTCTCCTTTCAACGACAAAATTAATCCGGTTTGAAAATTTTAATTATTTTAGAAATTATAACTATTTTTTGGATGAAATAAGATTTCTTGACTCTAGAGCCAAAAATGGTCAGTAAATTTGGGTTTGTCCATAAAAACAAACAAAAATTCCACATTCCTTTCTGGTGAACGGACAGGTTTAAAAAATGCAACGCCGGTACCGGTAGTGACAGCTATCATACGTAAACACCGTTACGCAAGTACAGTTTCGACATAAAACAGCAGCTAGGTGTAGGCTGCAGGTGACTTTCTCTCCACCATTTTATTTAACAAACATTAAGAGAGCCTAGGAATCGCAACGAAGGCAATGAAGGTAATGGAGGCCCAACTCCTCGATGCCGTTCACCACGCTCTCTTTCTCTATTCTCTCGATTTACGAAATAGCGGCATCAAACGCGAAACAACAGCTGGACAACAAAAGAACGTTGGGAATAAGACTTTTCCACTCATAAACCAAAGAGCTGACTCAGATGGTCGTTGACCCTATGCGTCCTCACAATCACAAAACTATATAAAATCTCACAAATATTTTTTAACGCTTCTTCTAAAATTTTTTTTTTCTGTCCCCCAAAGAATTCTTCTTTCATCTATTGATCTTTAAAGCCTACGCTTTAGTTATTGACAAATATATTTAAAATAAAATTTTGCTTTATTAAATAATGACTTGTTAAATTGCACTGTACTTTTTTAAATATTGACTTTTTTTAAGATATAAGCTCATCTTGATGTTACACTCATCAAGACCTTTCATTTGAGTACCCACATGCATTTTTCATAT